AAATACAAAGCAAAAAAACGTAGAAACGTTTCGTCTCTCATCTGAAAGACTTCCTTAGTCTGAGGTGCTGTATTCAGTTCAGTCTTATAAATACCACCTTCTCAGAGTGGATCAACCAGTTTGCTGCTGACAACCAAAACCAGCTGCTGACATGGTCAAGAAGGACCATCAGCCTAACAATGGATCATTAGCACACTGATGGCTGTTTACTATTCACAGGGGGCTGAGTGATACTAGCAATAACAACATTGTAAGAGGGGGACAGTTGAACCCGGAGGCTCCACCCCTGTTTAACGATGGACGATTTATTTTCACAAAGATGGCCTCCTTTACTCCTCTCTCAAACCATCGTTCCTCTCTGTCCAGGATGTGAACATCTTCATCCCTGAAAGAGTGACCGCTGGCCTGGAGATGAGTGTAGACCACAGAATCCTGGCCTGATGATGTTGATCTTCTGTACTGGGCCATCCTTTTGGCCAGTAGCTATTTAGTTTCCCTGATGTAAGACTGATCACCCTCCTGACACTGAACAACATACACAATATTACTCGGTTTGTGCGGGGGGACTGGATCTTTGGGATGAAACAGTCTTTGCCGTAATGTATTTTGAGGTTTAAAAGCCACTGGGACGTTATGTTTAGAAAATAAACTTATCAGTTTCTCTGATACTCCCCCAACATACGGAATGACCACTGGTCTGGGTTCCTCCTTTTCACCTGATGGCTGACTGGAGTCCTGTTTGGGTTTCTTCTCTGCTTTCAGGAAGGCCCAGTTAGGATATCCACATTGCTCTAGAGCCAGTCTTGTGTAGGATTTCTCCTTCTGCCTGGCTCCTGAGTTAGTGGGGATGCTGTCTGCTCTGTGGTACAGAGTCCTGATGACTCCTAACTTGTGCTCCAAAGGGTGATGGGAGTCAAACTGCAGATACTGGTCTGTGTGGGTGGGTTTGCAGTACACCTCAGTTTGCAAATGTCCTCTATTTGTGACATCAAACGAGACCATTGTTTCATCAGTCTCCATGATGACATCCCTCACCTTATCCACAAAGTCCATCGTGTTCTGTATGTGGTGTTCTGAGCTGCTCATCCCTTTAGTTGGCAGCCTTCGGGTTCAACTGTCCCCCTCTTACAATGCTGTTATTGCTAGAATCACTCAACCCCCTGTGCATAGTAAACAGCCATCAGTGTGCTAATGATCCATTGTTAGGCTGATGGTCCTTCTTGATCATGTGATCAGTTGGTTTTGGTTGTCAGCAGCAAACTGGTTGATCCACTCTGAGAAGGTGCTATTTAAGAGACTGAGCTGAATACAGCACCTCAGACTGAGGAAGTCTCTTGGATAAGAGACGACACGTTTCTACATTTTTTGCTTTTTTTTTTTTTTTTTTT